CAGTGAAATTAATTTTAAATTTTTAGCCTTCCGAGTTGCTGATGATGAGACAAGTTCCGAGATGATGAGGATGAATGCAACATAACTGATGATTCATCCACACTTTATTTTTATGTCTTATTTTAAAACTGAATTTTAAAAGTGTTCTTATTTTTCTGAGAGAAGCAATGAATCCCCTTAATTTAATAAAAAAAAATAAAAATATTAAAACAACAATTTAGTAAAGAAAAAGAAAAACAAAAAAAAAAAATACAAAGGCGATTTTTTAGCTGATCTAAGATTAACAGGGCAATTCTGGCAACTGTTTTTCATCTCCACACAGTCTTTCGAAAGACAAACGACTTTCGTAAGATAGTTTGCTATTCTGGCAACTAACTTAGAAGCTCTCTACTGTCTTTCGAATGACTAATTGCAAGATTTGCTAACGAGGAGGTCTTAGTGTTATGCTGTTCGCCATTTAAGTTTTTTTTTCAAATTAAATTAAATTAAAAAAAAACATATAAATTTTTCTTTTAAAAATAATCAAGCGTAATAAATAAAAGAGATTTAAATTAAAAAATAAAAAGAAAGCAAAAATAAATTATTAAATGGCTTTAAAAATTAAATGAAATTCAAATAATTTATTTTTTAGCTAACTAAAAATAAAACAAAAATTTAACTAAAAAAAAGAAAAAGATTTTTGGCATTTATAGAGTCTTATGACATTTCGACTTAGGTAGTCCGTCAAAATTGTATTGGTTGTTATATAAATAGTTTGTTGGCCTCCTCCAACTTCTAGTAGACTAATCTGATGGCCAGTATGATTGTTTTCTCTCAGGCGGGAAAAAATGATACTAAACTAAATGCCACGAGTTATGTATGTAAACCAAATTACATTTAGCCCAACATTTTTTCTTTCACAATCAAGGTTTTCCCTTAAATAAATTTCATAAAATTCTCTCATTGTCGCCTGCTTTGTATTTGTCCACAAATGTAATTGAATGCTTGCAATAATGTTTATTCGGCCGCTGCTCATATGAGTATTCAATGCAAATTACGCCATTTACGTAAATTTTATTACCATCATTTTTCGACGCCCATTTTGCTTTACTTTCTCATACATATACATTAGACTGCATCGCCAAAAAAAGTTGCGGTTTTTCCACCGGGATTACAAAATTTATTATATTCTAAGACGTCCACCAAACTATTTCGGAAAAATATTAAGATCTAAGCGAGCTGGACCGATTTGAAAATACCTCCAAAAATTAAGTTTTTTATGAATAAAAATAGTTTCTTAAAGAACTTTTTGAAAAAAGTCCCCTCAGATCACAAATTGGATTAAGCTTTAAAAATCTGCATACAAATATTTAAAAATCTTTTCAACGGAATCGTAAGAATGAGATTTTTGATGCTGTCTTTTTTTTTACTTTTTTCAAAGATTGGTTTACGAAAAACTTGAATAACTGGCCCAAAAAGGTTCTGATTTAAACTTATGGGATCTCAGTAGGAAGGTATTTTCTCACTGTTTTTATTTCTGGCCAAAAACACGTCATTCGTGTCCCATCTTGTTTTTTCGAATACCAACTCATCTTAATTCAACTTTGAATGACGTTCGTTCATCGTACCTTTCTCTTCCATCCTTTGAATGACTTTATTAGCAAAGAAATAAAAAGGGTGAGAAAATACCTTTCCAATGACACCTCTTAAGTCTAAATCGGAAGAGTTTAGGTTCAGTTATACAAGTTTTTCCTATACCAATCTTTGAAAAAAGTTAAAAAACAGCATCAAAAATCTCATCTTTATGATTCCGTTCAAAATTTTTTTTTAATTTTTTTTTTAAATATTTTTATGCAAATATTTTAAGCTTAAATTGTTTTATCATATGAGGGGATTTTTTCAAAAAAAAAAAATCTTTAAGAAACTATTTTTATTCATAAAAAACTCGATTTTTGGAGGTATTTTCAAATCGGTCCAGCTCACTTAAATCTTAATATTTTTTCGAAATATTTTGGTGGACGTCTTAGAATATAATAGATTTTATAATTCCAATGAAAAAATAGTACCGATTTTTTTTTGTATGGGGAGTGATGCAGTCTAATATACATACAGGGCGTAAAGCCAATACTTTTCAACCAAATTTGCAAGCAAATGCTTTATAATATTTGCACTAACAAAATTCCAAGATAAATTTGTGAAAGTAGCCAACGAAAGCCCAGAGAAATGCGAACTGGTCACACATGGCGTTAAATGCGCCTGGGGATATGCTTCTGCTATTGGCTAAATGTATGCTAATCTCGTTGTCGTAGAATGTTTTTGTTATACGCTGTTGTGGTATTTGTTTATGTGTGTGTGTGTGTGCCTTTCGTATGGCGCTAAGGGATTTTCAATTTCCGCACTAAATCAGCCAATTTTTGAAATGTATATTTCTTCTTATTTTTTTTTTTGAAAGCACACACTTTTTGCCTGCTACTTTACACATTTTTTGACCTTCTTTAGGCAGCTCACACACACATGCTGCTTGTTTGTTGTGCCTTTTATGTCGTCCTTTGTTAATACATATGTGTAGTCTGTGTGCTACAACTTATTTAATAGCTTCCTTTGCTGCAAAACAATTCTCTTTTCACCCTTTTTTATATGCCCCCAGGCTATTTATTTGTCACTTTTGTCTATATTTGGCAACTTTTTTCTCAGCTTTCTCGGTTTATGTTCCTTTGTGTGCCTTTTCGTTGTATTTGCTTGCATTTATGCGCCATTGTCAGTCACAATTTCAAGCCATTATCTACGCTAAACGACCTCTCGCCTCAATAAGCAATCACTGTGATTGAAGTTCGTAACCCATTGCTCACCCTTTTCGCCGGTTTCTTTAAAAATACTTATTTACATCTATACATACATATATGCCTTTTTCGTTATAAAGTAATAAAAATGCATACAACGGCATGCGATATTATCGAAAGTAAATGTGTGTTAAACAAAAAAAACAAATACTGTGCAGAAAAGAATATGTCTTGTAGATTTTTATCCACGTCACGCATACAGGTGCGTATTTTTCAGTAAACTTCGCGAAAATTTTCGTAAGTGGATTTGCAGTAGCTTTTGTAGTGTTTTCAGGAGCTAAATAGGATAACTGAAGAAATTTGAGGCCATTTCTTTAAATTTAAATAAATTAAAAATTGTTTAAATTTTCTTGATCAAATTCTGCTTTGCTTCTGCTGAAAAACAACAAAGCTGCTGGAGCTGACAGCCTGCCAGCTGAGCTATTCAAGTATGTAGCTCAAAAGAGAACTATTTGAAATATGATTGTTTTCACTCTCTATGCAACCTCACAAAAGCGGTTTTGCATTATCTTGATAAGCGGTTTTGTACTTTAAACGACGATATGTTGATAGTCCTGGGGGCATTTAAAGTTTTCCATTAAAACAAAAAATAAAGCGATGAGTTAACAAAATGCATGAAATTATAATTAGATTCCATATTTAGGCGATTATTAACAGCCTCCTTTTCAAACATTTTTTTTTTTACTTACTAAGCTAATTAAATTGAGCTTTCAAAATTCACCACCAAACTTTTTTCTAAGAATCGGAAACACCTTTTTCAGTTAAGTCAGCATACAAACCGCAAATCATGTTAGAATCATTCAACGTGTTACCCCTACATGCCTGCTTATGCACTGAGCCAGCTAAGCTATGTAATTCGTTCGCTCATGCCTGCTTATATACATATATCTCTAGCTAACACCGCCTTTTGGTCTGTTTGTGGCAACTTAACGTAACTTACGGCTCTCACTTAAAAATTCTGTTAACAGCCGAAACTTAACGTAACTCAATGCCACATCGAAATCTGTTTCATTTTGATTCTCTAAGTTCTACGTTCCGTTAAGTTAAGTTAAGTTAAGTTCCCATAATCAAGCTTTGACTGTCACCTTCGTTGGCTAAAGAAAGTAGTCAGCATTTACCGCGCTTGCGTGAGAGTGCGTTAAATATTTTCTGCTTAGCGGCAAATTAAAAATGCAAACAATGTGTTAATGCTTCACGCCCAACATGACCGCTAACATAACTTCACATATGTACATATTTCCATACATGGCCACATTTGAGCACATACTCATTCATATGCATAACTTTGCATATCTAACTTCTCCAACTCCAACTCGAACATAAACTTTTGTCTATCGCATCAGCATAATTAATATGCAAAAACAACAAAAAAGGCACCCAAATGCTGTTAACTAACATACCACATACATATCTAACTACTATATTTATAATTTTTTTGCTGACATGTTAAGTGTGTGAGTTTTAATGCATAAAAAAAGCAGCTGTAGGTCGGTGTTGATGTTGGCACAAAAACTTCTGGCACGGCGTTGATGAGTTGATTGTTGGTTGGGCGACTTTGCAAGGCAGATTTGCATGATTTTACTTTTGTGCTGCGCTCTATCTCTGCTTCACTTCGGTTTGTTTGTCCAAAAAGGATACATTTACAGCTTTATTTTAGCAGCTTCCACACATCGTCATTTCCGTATAACCCTCTTTTATTTTATTTCATTATGAATATCCACATAAAATTTAGCAGAATTCATTCATTCGCTCGTTAGTTCATTCAGTAGGTGATTTCGCTCATACACATAAACATTCATGTGACACATTAGAGAATGAGTGTTGAGAGATTAACATTTAAATATTTTTTTTTTTACCACCCTAATATAAAGTGTACTAAAAAGGAACAAAATTGGCTGCTAACCACTTTCGAAACTTAAAGGGGCCCGCTATAGATAGGAAACCATATATATACGTACCGACATATGTAATGCCTGCATCTATGTTAATACATTAGAGCGGGTCGTTCGAAAGGTTGTAAGCGAGAATTTTTTTGTAAAAATTCTGCCGCTTTTATTTTGCAATTTAAAGAGAAAGTAATTGCCCCTTGGGTGTATTTTTGATAAAATATTCACAAAAACAGATACTCACAGAAGCAAATTAAACTCCTTTCATTTTTTTCATTTTTTTTCTCTTTTGTAGGTAAATCGCGTCATTTCACGGTGAATGGTTTTAATACGCATGCACAACAGCAACAACAACAACAACAATTATCGCAACAGCAAAACCAAAGTGACGTGCGTAATATTTACAATAATCCTTATACGCCACCGCCAGCACCAACTTCCGCACCTACCCAACAACAACAACAACAAACACATCGCTTGCAGCAACAACAACAACAATTGTTGTACAAGTCTATCGCCAGCGGTGTTGTTGGTGGTGTTGGAAATAGTGGCGCCAATCAGTACGATTACCCACCAGCAGCTTCGAGTGAACTTCAACTACAGCAACAACAACAGCTACAGCAGCAACAATTTCAACTACAACAGCAACAACAACAACAACTAAGTAACGTCTTGGAAGCAGACACTTTCACCAGCCATAATAAAGGTAGGAACGGAATGTTTTGGCTTTATAACTAAACAAATATAAAATCCTTGCTTGGAAAAAACATATGAGCGATTCCAGCGTCACGGTTGGGATATTTGAACTGAAAAAATTGTTCTTTCTTGTTTAAATTTAAGTATAAGGTACTGAACAATTTGATAAAGCTACACCTAATTGACTATTTTATTTATGAGTTATTACAAAATACGCAAAAAATGCTAGCTTACTTTTATGCGGAAAAATTCTGAGTTATTTCTTTATTATGAATCGCAAATTATTTGACAGTACTTTCAACACATCATACTTTAAACCTACTAAAGAAATTTACTTATAACTTGATTTTAAAACATGAACCGAAAAGTCCTAAATTCTCAACAAAGTGCTTGAAGTTTTACAACACCAAAAAAAAGAGGCCCAAAAAAATCTAAAAGTCCAAAAAATGTCCGAAGAATTCAGGAAAGTCTCAAAACTTTCTTAGCTGAAGGTAATTCAAACAAAACTCAGGAGGTGCTTTCAGTAAAAATATTAGCGAAAATTATAAGGGTGGTAATCAAAAAGAAGCGGATAAAAATAATGTTATTAGGTTAGAGAAGTTTAAAATTCTTCAAAATTTTTTTTCTACATAATTCAGTAGATCAAAGTATTGAACCGTTAATGGACACGTAAAAAAAGAAGAAGAATTCTGAAAAAATACCGTAACTACTCTGAGAAGTTCCAGAAGTTTCTAGGAATCAATAAAAGATCCCGAAAGTCTCAGCCAATTAGATATGCTCCAAAATACTTTGACGAATTCCGAACCTCCTTTGACGGCAAACCTCCAAAAAGTGCCCGAAAAATTCGAACAGTCTCAAAAAGACGGAGTTGCTTAAAAATCACAAAAACATCCAGAGTATCCCGGCAAGTCCCGAAATTAAAAACGAAGATATATATAAATGTGAAGGTCCGAATAAATTCCCAACAAACCCAAAAAATTTCGAAAACTTCGAAAAAATTAGAAATGTTCCAAAATATTTTGACGAACTCCGAAAGATTCGGAAAATTCTAAAATACTCAGAAGAGTTGCGAAAAATGCTCGAAAAGCTGCGAAAGGTCCCAACAGGTTTTGCGAAGTTCGGCAAGGTAAAAAAAATTGGAATATTCCCAAAACATTTCCGATGAGTTCTCAGAAAAGTCCGAAAATTTCCCAATGTCTCGCAAAAATCACTAAAGAAACCAAAATAAAACTCTCCCCAAGTAAAAAAAAAAACTATAAAACTGGGGAAAAAATTTAATTTACATACCTAAATGCTAAGAAGAGATACAAAAATAAGTAAGTAAGTACTTTGTTGAAAAAATGCTCTATAATGAGGAAAGATTTAATTTGTTTTCTTTTTTTTTTTTTTTGAAAAGCTATGCGACCAAATTGTCTGCTGCTTTTTAGACTTGATAATCTAAAAAAATAGACAGTCTGTGGTAAATAAACAACTAGCAATCAGCACCTTCTAACTGCAAAATGAGATTGAAATATGCGCTACTTTGATAAAAAATTAAATTAGACTCTAAATCATAACGTAATTAAATGGAAAGGATAGCAGGAGTGCTCAGATTAAAAACATTCTCTCCTTAGAAAATAGTCCGACGCCATAATTTGCTATTCTTGACATATTTTAGCGTCGGCTATATTAGAAAAGGCAGCAATAAAACGTAATAATAAATGATAAGGAAAGTGGACAATAAGAGTAACAACCCTGTGGGCCATCCAGGTACGGCAACGCTTAAGAAGCTCTACTAACAACGGCAATCAACGTTGCAAGCAAAATAGAAAACTGTAGCAACTATAAGCCATACAGCTAGGCAGCCAAGTAGCCAACCGGCAGTGGCATTCACAACAAATCACACCACTGGGGTCCAGTGCGCCACGACAGACAAAAATAACGAAGGCGAGAAACGAAGAGATTGACTATAAAATGTGGCCAAGTGCAATTGCCCCATTGTGGCAGCTTCAGCTGTGGCAGCCAACAGCAGCGGTGATGATGACGCTGATGCTGCCAGTGAGCGCGACTTTGAAGAAAGACGCTGAGGAGCAACAGTGAAATAAAAATTTCAACATAAATACCAAACGAGGCGCAGGCAGAGAAAGCGGTGTCGGAGGTGCAGTAGGATGATGCAAGGATAAACTGTGTATAAAAGAGTCAGTGCAGTGCGGCGGCACACAATTTAACAAGCAGTGCGGCAGCACGTAACACATGGCATACTTTGTGTATAACGGCACACAGCGAAGAGGCTGTCGACAATACTTAAACCAGCAAGAGGCAACGATAAAGTCAAGCAGAGAAAGCAGCGAGCGATAAAGGTTAAGACGATGCAGACAAAATAAAAAAAGTATGACAAACACATGGGCACACACAAACCAGCGTATCTTGTTGCAACAAGGCGCGTAAGCATATACATTCACTCGTTTGGGTGCCTGGCTTGTGGCAAGTCTTGCTTGCAATAAACTTAAATCACGATTAAAAGTGTGATTATCCTTGCGGCGTGCAACAAATCGCTTGTTGCAACAGACAACGACAGCCTGCTGCCAACTGCCGCAGCGAAACAAACAAACAAACAATCACACATCCTTGATATTGAAGAGCGTAAGTGTAGGTGTTGCTTGTGTTGGCAACTGGATTATGCCGTCTATGCGTTGTTGCAAGCGTAAGTTTGCGCTGATTTTTCCTTCCTTTTACGCACACATGCACACACACACATTCACATAGATGCCTTTTGTTTAAGACATGACAACAAAAAATACCCTTGGGTCTGAAGATTGCCTTGCAGCAACAGTTGCTGGCCGTGCTTATGATTTCCACTTCTGCAAAGCGCAACAGTTCAAATGACACCTCATAAAATTGTGTGCCTTATGCTGTTACTTGTATGTTACTTATGTTATGTATGTAGTATATGAAAAGGGCATGTACGTCGCGGCGGTGATAATTTTTGGCACTTACTCGTATCGCTGATCTGTGGGCACAAAGAACCTATTAACTTATTTACCTACATATCGTCACCAGACACGAATAAAGGCGCGAGTTCAAAAGTTGACCGCGAAAAATGGCGCATAAAAAGTCTCCAAGAGAAAGACTCGTAAACTTATTTTCGCGGTCAACTATGTTTGCGGCTGTAACAGTATGTAAATTCCCTAAAGAGTTTTTGGGGAATTATGCTGAAGTTACAGTCCTTGGCCTGGTACAAATCTATGTTTGCGTGTCTTTCTTCGCCTAAGTTTTTCTTAAGTGTCTTTTTTCGGCGATACCTATGTACATTCGTTAAATTATTATTTTTTAAATACTTTTATTGGAACAATCGAAATACTTGCTTAGCAAAAGTTTATTGATATTTGGTGAGCTTCAATTTAGTGACATTAGGATGGTACAGTAGCGTGACAAGAACTGAGATATGATGGGTAAGTACTAGAACGGAGTACTTGAAGCTAATGAACTTTGGAACAAAAATATAGTCTCCTCAAGACAACAAATAGTCATATATCATACTTTAAGATCCGACGGAAGATATGAAGACAAATTTTAAAAGACGATTCGAAACTGTCTTCAAATCGAAATACTTCCTTAGGAAATGATAAATTATTTTTAGCGAGGTTAAACTTACTGACATTAGGGTGGTACGACAGTACGACAAGAACAGAGATCCAGTGGCTAAGTACTAGAACGGTCAATGCACTTTGGAACAAACCAATTTTCTCAACGAGAAAAAACATCGGAGTGGTTATCATATTTTAAGTTCTGATTGTAAATGTCAAAAATATGACCACAAATAAACGATCGTTCTAAAAAAAATCCTTTTTGAATTTAGTTTGAATTTGCCTTTCAAAGAAACCTTTGACTCGAGGGTGTACGGAGAACTTTTTTTTGATGCCCAAGATACCTTCAGCTTTACTAATATTATAATGATCCTCTATAGACCAACGTGAAATTTTATCAGCTTCGATCACAGAAGAAAATGTAAAGGCTGGACACAGAATATGCCCTGAAGTGTAACAGTCCTCAAGACAAAGTCAGAAACCTGACACTTTAGTCCGATCAATTTGTTCCATTTGAACACATAGTCGATAACAATTCTCAAGATGTCAATCGGCATAAAAAATATATAATGTCCTTTTTAACGAAAACGTATTTAATAATCTTTCCCACTTAATTATTAAGAGCCTCGAAGAGCCTTGTTAACGAGAAACTTAAAATCTTTCTGAAGAGTCTCGCATTTGATGGATACTTTGGTGATATGACGACCGGTAGTGAAGGGAATGAAACAAATTCATTCGACCAGTTGTGGGGCTGTAGTAGATATTTAACAGTACTCCTTAAAGAAATGGCTGTTCTTCTATTGAAAACTAAATCAAGTCACCCCCAAACTGAATACAAGTAAAACAAGAAAAGATACTGAATTTTGTAAAGATTTATTTACAAGAAAGTGAGTAAGGTTGACCACACAAACGGTTTGCTACTTATTGAACTGAGCCTGGGTTATAGAAATTTTTGCAAGATAAATCTTTCGGCTGAGACAAAAACAATTTCAAAAATATTCTACATTTCCAATGCAATGCAAATATGCAGATAACCGACAGTTGACACCACCAAATTCAAGTACACGCACGCACCCAAATGGTTGCCTGCAAATTATCAATGTGTAGGCTTTGGGTCAAAAGCCAGACAGACATACATATTTCAAAGAGCAAGCAGATGGGTAAATAAACTCAACTGCTGGGGAGCAGTAAATGAACTGAGGCATCCTCCAACCACCTGTGGGTGGTGCCGTCTGCCAATTGTTTCTGCATTCTCCGTATGTATATGTAAATACAAATTCATATGTGCGGAGCAGTCCACACGCCCCCCCTCCCCCCTCCATTTATACACACATGCCATGCCGCCTTCTGCCAATGGCCGAAACAAATTTTCGCATTGACAATATTTACATTGCCATTTAAGATTATCCTAATTGAGAATCTCGGCGGAAATCTGTACGCTCTGGAAATTGTACACAACTAAATGCGTAAATAAATAAATTTACAAACGCACAGGACATAGTTGGACACATAAACTCACAAAGGAAATGCCTATTTATAGTTAAGTCTCGGTTCATGTGTGGACGTGGGGGACTTGCAATTTGCGTTTACAGAGTGTCCATTTGACTGAATTTGTTGTGTCGCCAGCCAACCTGTTTTGGGTGTATGTGCTGCTGCTTTTGTTGATGTTGTTGCGCGCAATTTAAACAATACGCATGAAAACGCAATCAATTGATTAGAGAGCGACCGACCATCGACGATTCTGATTCGACACACCCAACCGAAAAAGTGAATGGCCGAGACACACGAATTAGGTTGGGTTGAGTGAATATTTGGGCGGCAGGTCGTTCAAAATAAACGGTTGATTTGAGAATAAATTTGTGACTTGCTTTTATGAACCAAAGGAAGCAGATCATGAACGAGGCTTAGTAAGAAGTAGTGGAGTTATAAATAAATGGTCAGAGCTAAAAAAAAATTCGATATATCGTTATATCAAAATTTGAATTATTTGAAAGAAATTTATTTGTTGAAAAAAATGTTTAAGCATAAAATTTTCCAGAAAAATATTAAGATTAAAACAAAAAATTATAATTATTTCATAAAAATATCCTTCAAAGCTGAAAAATTT